AAGAGATGCTAAATCTGAAGTCCCACTGTTTTAATTTTGATTTTGCATTCAGCTCAAATTTCCTTGTAAGTTTCAGTAACATTACTAATATGGGACACTCATACTAAGTGCTGGAGCGATTTTAATAGTCTTGTTGCTTAAGTTGTTTTATGCAGTTGCTTTAAAGCAGATGAATGTTTTACAGGGTATCACGAATCTACAGCCACTGGAAAACGTGCTTCTATTTTCATCGCATAATCAGCGATATTAGCCCAGTGACTGATGGTTAGTAAGAAACTTTTCCTCATTTTCAGAATGTATCCTTCCTTTGAATGGAACTTTCAAGCCTTTCCATGTGTATTTTTCGATAATTTCAGTTGGCGTCGATCTTTTTGGCTTTCGAAAACGAATTTTTGTGCAATATTTGTGGAGAACAGAAAAGGCCAGTTTTTTTTGTTGTATAGAATTATGACGAAACTGTCAAAAGTCGAAACCCTTCATACGTTCACTGTAAAAAACAAAGGTACTCGGAAGCAGTTCGACTGGTACCAAGTGTCAGTAGGAACCGCTTATTGGCAACACTGTCGATGGCTTCCTCATTTACAAATCTACTAAAAGTAACCAAACGAGCTGAAATGTTAAAATAACAAAAATTATAAGTGCACTTTTCGAATTTGCAGAAAAGTGAGAAAGATCGCGTGGTGCAGGAATACAATGCGGCAAAAGCAGCCGCAGCAGCTGCTGCTGCAGCAGCGGCGGCACGAAGTCGTCGACCTAGTTTACAAACGAGTCCTGGCATAGCTGGCACTGGAGCAGGAAAAGGACAATGGAGACAGTCCATCCAACGAGCACCGGATTTCGGGCGTCGATTTTCGTTCGCAAAATTCAAAGATACCACTCAAGCTGCTGCGCGACGATCATCGGTCGCTCCAGCCCTAAATCGTCGGCCATCCAACATTCCGAAGTACAAAAAGAGAGCACCAAGCTTAACAAGCCAGAAATTTCAGTCGACGAGCAGCAGTAACACGCCATCGGAAAAATCCGAGGGTTCTAGCAGTCGACCACGTCGCCGCTCTTCCATACCTCGACCACTGAATTCTGTAGTGCTGAGACGGAAGCGCGTTTTCTCCGTATCACCAATAGTCGGAGTTCAGTTGCGAAGCGGTCGACGGGTTTCATTAATTACATTCAAGGAGCATTTCGAGAGGGATCGGCAAAAATTTCGCCCTAACAAAATTTGGTCCGCAAAGTAATAGTCGCTACAGCAATACTTTTTCAGATACATGTATATATTTCGATAATTTGATTAGCATTATTTAATAGCATGGTTCTCCAATTTTGCAGCTGGTAGCTTCTCCAATTACTTTTTGACCAATGCTGCATCGTCTGATGGTCAGCCTGCTAGCAGTCCTGTTTTGTTTTCTGAAGAGATTACCAACTCAACAATCTTTTCTTTCTCTCTCTCTCTCCATCATTCTTCCCCTTTTTCTTTCCCTCGATCTTTAAAAAAGAGTCGCAGTCGCTGTGTTGATGAGGTCCGGTTGTGATGCT